CTTCATTATGAGACATAAAACAAGGGTCAAAAAATGCGGCTAATCCATGCAGTTGAAATTCTGATTTCTGGATCCATAATGAAGGTCACAGATTTTGACAGTGATCTACACGCTACCAAAAGTGATGTATCCATTATAAACAGTCCAAAATTGCTGAGTTGCTCTTGATATAATTGGAATTCATTATAAAATGATCCGAAACTACAGATGTCTAAAAGACAGATGAAATTCATATCCCAAAAAAAAAACTTAAAATGGACACGGACAGAATTTAAAATCAATACTAATTGTGCCAAAAATTTCGAGATCCGATTTTGCCGAATGCATCAAGAATAATTCTTAAATTTAACAGTTTAAGGAATTTCACAAAATTCAAACATTCTATTCGAGAAAAATAATCCAAATATCATACGAATAGAACATGCACAAATCCTAATAATCTAGCAAATGATGACCGTTCTGATACCACTTGTTAGAAAATCAAATTAGATCCAAATATAAATTAAATCCTAGGATCAACATCATGCTAAATTACTAGGATTCACAGATTCAGATAATATACATGTATCCATTGTAAACGATTGCCTACTATTGTGGAATTACTGCAACAATCGACTACGTACCAATGAATACAAATGAAGAGGGTGGTTTTGTGATCTTCCTCAACCAAATCTCCTTATTCCTCAATGGGACCGTGATTTCTTTTCTTGATGGGGAGAAGGGAAAAGAGTGTATGATTTGGTATATTGGGGACCATAACCAAAATAACCTTTATATACTACTTAATTAAGGTTCCCATTATCCCTTAATTAGAGTAATATTAGCCGGTATCTACTCACTTAGTCCATATTAATTTGAGTAGTCTATGGGCATACAAAAAATAGACCACTTGATTTTTGCCCATTATATTAAATAGCTAATATAATTGTATTAATAAATTGCCAATATTAAGTTAGGAAAATCATGTTTTTCTAACAATTTTATTATTCAAAACTCACTTACACAGACCACTACTCACTATTTTAATATTTAGCAAAACTAAGACCAAATTATTCTCTCTCTCTCTCTCTCTCCCTTACTGCCTTTTAACTTTCTCTGCTTCTCTCATCACTCACGCTTTCTTTCTTGCGTATATATGGCAAATTGGAAAAGAAAGAATGATGAAATTGAATGAAATCTGCATTTTTGGAGGATCGAAGTTTACTCTTTAAAAATTGAATTCAAGGATTAAAGTGCATTACTTGAAAGAAGGTAAATAATGCATTGGACTTAAATGGGCCTCAACTTGAACAGAAGTATAATTGGACCAAAAGTGGGCTGAAATTAAAAAGGAACTGGACTCTTATATATATATA